CATTAAGTATTTGTAAACGTTAAATAACGCTGTTTTAGTCACGTTTATTAACATTTCGAGAAAACAAAAGTAATTCAAGACAAGGATAATATGTGATAATTGTGTTCAATCTCATAATCACATCTGATTTACTTATTTACTCAAAAATAAGCTCATACTCATTAAAAATTAAGTTGAATTTTGATTTATCAAGTTTTCAAAACTTATTTTCAAAATAAGTTTTATTATTTACTTTTCAACTTCTGACAAATCCAATGAAGATTAATTACTATAAAATCTGATTTTTTAAACACAATAGAATCAAATACAACATATTTAGATTTGTTTTCAGACTGAACAGTTTTCTATCATAAACAATACCAAAAGTGATACAAAATACGAGTGAAAAATCAACTAACATTGGAAGAAAATATTTCAAATATTCACGTGTTTATAGCAAGTGAAATGGAAAAGCTACAAAATCTGACGTAAACACAGACGACATTTTTCTCGTTTTGGTGATAACTTGTAATGAAGTAAAACGAACATAATTTCAGTAGTAGAAGTTATTGATTATTTCCCAAACACGGTTGTAGTCTTTTAAAAATATCGAATAAAGCAATTTTACAAATTTCTTTTGCAAAAACTTCTATGTATAAGGTACAAAAAGAAAAAGAAGAAAACAAACCATTTTTTTTTCAGACATCGAAAAGCTTTTGAATTATTATTTGTTTATTCTATGTTTTGGCAAACTCCATCAGGACATTATTTACAATCATGTGGCACCTAACTTGTTATCACATTTATTTATTTATTATTTTTTGGTAACTTGAAGGACTATGTTTATGTTTTCTTGATTTCTCCTTACCAAAATATTATTTCTAAGAATTAAGTTTGGATATCGTTGAACTGTCTTTAAAAGTCCCTGCTAGTAAAAGTACCAATACAGGAATGTAATCATCCAGGTTGTCCCGTCATATTAATAGTATTGTTGACAGTGGCGCCATTTATAGAAGGTGACAAAGTAGACGAAACACCCTTAAGGATCTCTTCGTTTTCTTTACGGACTGGAAAGAAAGGTAGAAAAAGAAACTCATAAATATGAAGCAGTGAAATACTAACAGAAAATTCGTTAAGAGGTTAAGTAACTCGTATAAAGGTAATTTCATTTTAACGAAAAAGCCTATAAACAGTTCGAAATTAAACAAAGAATTGAATCAAAAGCCTGTTTAAGAGTTAATCAAGACAGGAGGGTTTTATTTTATTTTTCTCCATTTCAAAATTAAATCGTTTTTAAATGTTATGAAATATTTATTTGAAAACGCAAAACATTTTTAAATAATCGGATGAAATACTGAGAACGAGAATACGGTGGCTCAGTGTTGCCATGGTGACAAACTGAGAAGATGACTTCCTTACCCAAACTGTTCTAAGAGTTAATGCTTGCGACTAGTATTTATCAAAAAAATGTGAGATTATAAAATTTATGGAAAGAACGGAGATAAAAATGTAGCACAATTTCTTTTTGTCATCCTCTCCATAAATAACCGTCCCCCGGTGGGACAGCGGTTAGTCTACGGAATTACAACGCTAAAATCAGGGGTTCGATTCCCCTGGTGGACACGGCAGATAGCCCAATGTAGCTTTGCTCTAAAACAAACAATGAATCAACCATAAATACGTTTAGTGTATTAAATAAACAAATGCATTGTTTGTTTGTTGTTAAGCACAAAGCTACATAAAGGGCTATCTATGCTCTGCCCACCACGGGTATCGAAACTCGGTTCCTAGCGTTGTAAGTCCGCAGACAAACCGCTGTGCCAATGGGGAGCTAAACAAATGCAAAACAAAGGACACAAGATAATATGCCATTAGTGGACTTGTGTATATAACACCGTATATATATAGATAGATTTCTACAACATCATTAATATTAAGTCATATCTATATAAATAATACGCTTGCGCTTGTCTGTTTGGACCTTTTTAGCAAATCTCTCGATCAAACGCTTCAAATCTAATATTGTTAGAAAGGCCTTTTCCGAGGATCCCGGATTGAATATTGGCTTTTTAATTCAGAATCACCTTAACTATTTTTGTTTACTCAAACTTCTCAATGCAACGAGTATGGTACACGATAGCACAATATCGTTGTCAACAATTGGTGACTGTCTTCGATTTCAGCTTTAGTTTTTTTTATTTGCAAAGTATTTCACACAAACAACACTTAACCCGTGTATAACTTTCTTTAAAAAATAAGTATTACACTTTGTACAATTTCTATTGGCTTTCTCGACTTAAATACACACGCACAATTCTTTCAAAACCATCACTTTGTGAACACACATTCAGCCGTTTCTGCATATTCAGCTAAATTTGCATTCATAACAACTTTACATTTACTTTATTTTGAAATAATTTAATTTTGGTTCGTTTCATAGACTGTTATAAACAACTTTTAGCTACTTTTTTTCTTTACTACGGGTTTTATTCTTCGTTTTTGTGAGTTTATTTGTTTCAACTGGTAAAACTGTTTCATACACTGAACGCTCATAACTGTTTCATACTCTGTACACAAGTATAAATACCATTACTATACTTTATTGTTTACTTTACGTGTAGTTCTATTAAATAAAGTTACGTCTACGTGAGTTTGTTTGTCTGAACGCGTATTTTTTTTCTCCCAAATAGACCAGGATTTATCAATCTAATACTTAATGCCTGCAAGAAAGCGTAGCTCAAATGACGTGAATGAAAATGATAGAATAAGGAAGATACAAGTGAAGGGCATGAAAACTACCGCAAATATTTTGCGGGGTGTGGCTCGTAAAATTAATAACTGACAATACCGTAAGATAAGACCCAGTTTTATAATTTATAATTTAGAATTATTGTTTTGGCCTACAATACATAGAAATGAAGTGTTTTACTAAAATCTATTCATTCATTTTTTTTTTACATTTTCATAAACCTAAACTGTTTCCAATGATTTATCTTCAACAGTTAGAGAGTATCAACACATGGCAGTTTATCTATCTCAAAGACATCCTTCGTTTTAAATGTATTCTGTTTCTAGCAAACTTTGCCGATACTCTGATTAAATGATTCTTGCTTTGCTTAACACTTTCTTTATATGATGTAAATGTGTGTAAAAAAAAAAAAACGATTCGACGACAATAAGTTCAATTCTGGTGCCTTCCCTTTGTCCTCCAGGTAGAATAGTGGTAAGTCTACGAACTTTTAATGCTAAAATCCGGATTCTGTTTCCTGCTGTGGACACGGTAGATAACCCAATGTGACTTTGCTCTAAAACAAGCACACACACACACACACACGTGCCTTCCCTTGACAAATACTGGTATATAAGTATATCTTAAAACATTAGGTTAATTGAGCAGATATATACAATTGCTCATTTTATGTTTGTTTGTTTGAAGTTAAGCACAAAGCTGCACAATGGGCTATCTGTGCTCTGCCTACTCTCATTTTATGTTCAAAGTTAATTAATGTCCTTTCGTCGTGTTTCTGTTGACATGGACTGTTTTATTTCAGTGATTTTGAGTTCTATATTGATTTACCAAATGCTTAAGAAGAGCATTGCATCAGAATTTAAAACAAAAATAATTTATTTAGCTCCGCCTTGCGACAAATATTATGATAATTTGATGAAATGTTCGAATACAGAAAATGGCGATCCGGCCAAATCTGGTAATGACTCTTGTTTTTACCATCTGAAGTCAGCAGGCTTACGACGTTAAAAATAGGTTTTCGATATTCGTGGTGGGCAGAAAAAATAGCTCCTGGTAGCTCTGTGTCACGTCAGCAAGCTTACAACGCTAAAAATCGGGTTTCGATACCTGCGGTGCGCAGAGAACAGATGGCCCATATTGTAGCTTTGCGTTTTATAACAAACAAACAAAACTTATTTAAACAACATTTTCAAGGCTAGAGTTTGAAGTTTCTAAACGTAAGGAAATGACACGTTGTCAGTTTTGTAATTAAATGATGAACGTGTGTAGGGGAAGGAAAACGCTGTGCCATAAAAGGTAATACTTACAGACTAGTTGTACTTATAAGATTTATTAGAAACACGGCAAAGACAAGCCGGTTAATCACGTGAGATCAGTAATATCTGAATAGAAAAGTAATAAAAAACAACCCCTTAAAATCCCCCACCAGAGGATGATGCCAAATAAAAAACCAAATGGTTTGTTTCGTTTTGAATTTCGCACAAAGCTACACGAGGGCTATCTGCGCTAACCATCCCTAATTTAGCAGTGAAAGACCAGAGGGAAGGCAGCTAGTCATTACAACCCACCGCCAACTTTAGGAATACTCTTTTACCAAAAAATAGTGGGATTGATCGTCACATTATACTGCCCCCACGGATGTAAGGGCGAGCATATTTGGTGGGACGGGGATTCGAACCCACGACTCTCAGACTGCTAGTCGAGTGCCCCCTAACCATCAGGTCATGCCGGGTCAAAAAAAAATGAAGCAACAATAAGATATAACATCGATATCTTTTCTTAAAAGTAAGATAAACGTTTTTCCTTTATTCGAAACGAACTTAGAATACAATATTTCACTGCGCTAGAAAACGTTTTTCCCTTATAGTATACTCACATCCATTTTTCATCACGCATAACCTTTTCGTGTTTATATAACTTTCTATCTTTTTCTTCCCACTCTCCTACACTCCATCATCAAGATGATTTTTAACCTTTCTCGAAAAAAAATAAATACGGGAAAGGATACGGTATGATCTGTTCTGAATTTCGCTCAAAGATACACGAGGGCTATCTGAGCTAGCCGTTCCTAATTTAGTAGTGATAGACTAAAGGGAAAGCAGATAGTCAACACCACCCACCGCCATGGCTGAAAGATCGGCATATTTGAGGACGGGGATTCTAACACATGATTGGGAGTTGAGCGCCCCCTAACCATCAGGCCATGCCCGGCCTGGAAGAATATCGCATCTTTTTGACGTTTCTAACAATCTGCATTTATTTTAAGACTAACAAGTAAGATACAAAGTGTACATTTTTGCATTTTTTTTTTCAGTATTCTTCTTCGGAAAATAAATTATAATATAGAAACCACTTTATTATTATTATTATTATCAAAATACATTATAATATACAAATTGCTATATTATTATAAAATAAATTATAATATAGAAACCACTTTATTATTATTATTATTATCAAATACATTATAATATACAAATTGCTATATTATTATAAAATAAATTATAATATAGAAACCACTTTATTACTATCAAAATAAATTATAATGTACAAACCACTTTATTATTATCAAAATAAATTATAATATAGAAACCACTTTATTATTATTAAAATAAATTATACAAACCACTTGATTAATATCAAAATAAATTATAATATACAAACCACTTTATTATTTTTTGTACTATATACATCAGCTTTGCACTGATCAAAATGTTGGTGTACTTTGGTGACAGATTTTCTTGTAGGCAGATTTTGTTAAACAAGACCGATGTCTGTAGGTTTACTTTCTTCTTAGAATTCTTCTCAAGAAGTCGATAAGCCGTCTTAACGTTGTTAGAACTATCTACAACTTTTACCCGTTGTTCTAACAACGTTAAGACGGCTTATCGACTTCTTGAGAAGAATTCTAAGAAGAAAGTAAACCTACAGACATCGGTCTTGTTTAACAAAATCTGCCTACAAGAAAATCTGTCACCAAAGTACACCA